CTGATCTTTACTCGATGCTTTTGGCACCCATTAAGCTGAAAGCTTGCTGAGACCAAGAGGTTCACTTAAAATTCAAACTATCCAACCGTCTGAGATCCCAGCTCCAGGAGCTATGATGACCCTAATGCTGGGGTCTCCCTCCACCTACTTCTGGACTTCAGCTGTTATGGTCTTCACTCATTGGGGTGGACAGGCTTTCTTCTCGAGGTTTTCCTTACCTCCCTTAAGATGCTTGATCTGACGAAAAACTGTTGTTTATTTGGGACAGAAAGCTGGTAAACTTGTTGCAAAGCTTCAATGATTGGTGGAGTTGTCCACCTGACTGCTGCTAAAAAGCCAAAATCAGCCCTGGCCTCAACATTATCCTCCCTCCCACTATGGCACAAACAACGCCTTTACATCTTTTTTTTGGTCTTTTGAATGTGTCCTAAAGAGACGAAGACAAAGCGGACTACGGAGACTACTTGCCTGCAGCCACCCCCACCACAGACCCCTTTAAGCACCTTTTATTTTGGAAGCAATTGTGTGTGTGCACTGGAATCCACGCCCCAAATCTTTTTCATTTATCTTCATGTAGCTCATCCCACAGGAGGAATTTACTTGTTTGAAACAATAGTCATAAAATGTGAAAACTTATATAAAAAACCTGCCTCAACATTAAATGGTCTTATAGAACAGTGATTTGAGAAGACTATCAGTTGTAGAGATGATTACATACTTAAGGAGTAGGAACACGTAGAAGGCTTGGTATCTTCTCAGAATGTCAAATGACATGTATTTTGAACGTTGGAAAGTACTGCATTCATGGCTTAATGAAGAGGAGGCCGAAGTATGAAAATAATTCAAAAGGAAATGAAATGTCAGAATCTGAGAGCCTGATGTCCATCTAGGTCATTCCCTCATTCCTCTACGGAAACTCTAATGACACTGAATTCACGCCACAGTGCCTGACATGACCTCTTCATGTGGAGGTGCTGGAAAAGACTGGTTGAATCACTGCCATTGACTTGTAGCTTTTCTAGAGACACCAATTAAATAGCAATTAGTAGACTTTTTTAAAAAGCGGCCTATTCAACAAGATTTTTACAAACACACCACTTGCTCACACCTGTATAAACCACTCTGGATACAAATATGCCTTGTAGGATATTATTCTTGGCTCACACCATACCTCTCTCAATAGCTTCCTTAAGTCCTGCTAAAAAGCTTGTGAGGTCTACCATGAAAACGTGTCAGATTCAACACATTCACTTGTTTTTAAAATAATAAAATACTCACTTAGTTCCTGTAATGCACCTAGACTAATCCTCTGTACCAACCAGCTAGTAAGCCTTTTAAGTAAATCAGATTTCTCTCAAAAATGGGAAAAAATCCTACCCCCAAAAAATGACATTCGCTAAGAATGGTACACAACACGTGTTTGGCATAGCGGTTTGCATTTCTGGTTAGCAAGAAGTAGAGGTGGGACGAAGGAGGACGCTCCCCCTCTGGGAAAAACTGTGTCCTGGACGAAGCGCTCATTAGAAACAAAATTATTCTGTGACATCGAAGGGTGGGTGGTCTTGAGTGGGTGGTCTCCTGAAGGGACGGTGTGTGATGAGGCCTCTGAATTCTGACTGGCCTCGTGGCAATTAAATATACTGATATACAGTATACGTGACATTACATATACTGATATCTATACATATCCACATGTACATCAGCAAAGCATTCCTGTCTCTATCCATACATACCGTACATACACAAATGCTTTCATGCTTTCAATTGGACATAAACAATGGAGGGAACATCTATGTAAATAACGGTCATGGACTCACTTGTATAGCACTAAAAATTCATTGATTGACTTCTTAAGGTCATAAATACTTGGGAAGTGTTGTGATTTCTGCACTATAACTGTTCTCCAGGGGTGTCCCAGGGACAGAGAGGAGTATTCAGTATCCTTTAAGGGGGTCTCTGAGGGCAAAAGTAATTCCACAAAATAGTAAAACATCGCTTATCCTTTTTGCTTGCATAACCTCAGGAATTAGTCGAGTTTTCCAGAAGCCAAATGAACATGCAATGGCATTGACTCTGACAATTAATGGAATGAGTACTTGCATATTCTCTTTATTTTTAAAATCAGTTTTGGTTTTTAATAAGCATTTATTGATTGGCAATAGCCATATAAGCCGAGGCCCTTTTGGGGCCTCAGTAATTTCTAAGAGTGCAAAGGTGTCAGGAATCAAAGATTTTGAATGCCACTGGTCTGTATTAATTGCAGAGAAGAGTGAACAGTGTATGTTGTGTTAGATCATAAACATGTCTACCAGAAGCCTGGGTCCTGAAGGATATGTTTAATTGCTTCCTGCTGTCTGCTCTATCACGGGCCACAGGTCACCACTGTCTGCTGGCGCTTTTATGGAAAGAAACAGAAAGTACCATCAATTTAGAGTCGACTAATATAGTACCAAAGTAGCACTTTGCTGCAGTACATTTTCAAGAATATTAAAATAAAAGCCATTTGTTCGGCGATCTGTGTAACCCTGCTTTTAAACTATTATTTAATCACTGCTAAACAAACAAACAAACATATTTAAAAAGGGTCTTACAGTTCACATATTAATTAACAGGATTACCGGGTACAATAACTATAACCTTTAGATTCATAAAAACTAAACAACATTCTAATGTGGCCTATCTCCTACATCCAATTCACAAACATATGCAAAAAAGCAGAATTCTTTTTTGAAGTAATAATAAGAAAACTTAATTTTGGTCCACTGACACATAACTATTAGATATTTTTTTCTTCTGTTTTTTTAAAATAATTTTATTGGGGGCTTGTACAACTCTTATCACAATCCATACATACACACATTGTACACTTTTACATCTGCTGCCATCATCATTTTCAAAACATTTACTTTCCACTTGAGCCTCTAGTATCAGTACCTCATTTTTCGCCCCCTCACCGCGCTCCCCCCGCCCATGAACCCTCGATAATTTTAAAATTATTATTATGTTGTCATGTCTTACACTGTCCGACGTCTCCCTTCACCCACTTTTCTGTTGTCTGTCCCCCAGGGAGGAGGTCACATGTAGATCCTTTATTTCGTCTCTTCAACGTACCGTGTGTTCACTAATGGAATGATGACTGAAGTTGCACATTTCCTCTGCAGATACATAACTCTGGCTTCACTGAAACCCAGCCTCCACAGGGTGGAGGGCTAGAGAAGGGAGAGTGGGGTTGGGGCTCTGGGCCCCCCAGTTCTTTTAGCTGTTTAGAGGATCCAACACACCCCCCACCCCCAAATCCAACCCTTTACACTAAATACTTTTAATAATAATAATGCTCCAAATAAAAAGCAATGATAGTTTTAGTCCAAACTGAGTTTTGAACTGGTTCTTTCTGTTCAGTCATGGCCAACAAAGTAAAGCCACAATTCATCTGCATTTGTAAAACGTAGGTAAACTAGGACAGTAGGACATTCTTCTAGAAAGACAACAAGAGCGGTGTGCGTTGCATTAACAACCACATCTCTTGAATGTCAGAGTAGCAAACACCTGTGTTGTGGTATAATCCCACAGACAAGTCCATTGCTTTGAATGTGTGTCTACCTCCTTAGCACTGGCAAGAATCCAATCTCCTGTGTTGGGCTCCTGAAAGAGCCCAATATGCCTCTTTTGGAGCTCACATTCCAAACTTTGATTCATTCTAATGACTGTTTCATTTCACCCCATTATAAAAAAGTTCAGCCTGTCTCATGTCAGTGCATCAGCCATGACTGAACCAGCTTGAAGTCCCACTCCAAAGTCATTCTCCTCAAGGCCACGGACATCATTTAAATCATTCCATCAGAAACATTAGCATAAGTTGCTAACCCTATTTTTTGGAACGAAAGAATTAACTTTTTTTTTCTCAGGAGGGGACATTTTAAGAATAGAACCCAGGTCTCGAACTCATAAACCAGCTGCTAACCTATTTCGACTACCACATCTGCGTTACAAGAACTACAGACAGGATCTTCCCAGTGTGCAGATGCTAAGACTTGGTTTCCTGTACTTTGGTGGCGTCACCAGCAAGAAGGATCTCTGGAGAACATCATGCTTGGTAAAGTGGACCACCCATGAACTACAGAAGCCCCTTAATGAGATGGACTGATACGGTGGCTGCAACAATGGGCTCAAAAAACACAGGAATGGTTTTGAGGATGGTTCAGACCAGGGAGTGTCTTATTACCGTGCGCGCAGGGTCACTATGAGTCAGTATCCAGTAAATCGCACTGAACAACCTACAACTATCTCTAAGACTAGTCAAAACAGCTGGACATTGATGTTAAATATTAAATATATGGCTTATGTTTATAGCCATCATGTCATTGTCAATGTACAACAACCCCGCACATTTTAAGTTTGAACTTCTTGCTGGGTTCTGAGATGGAACGAGCGAGTCAAAGGTCACACATCTAGCAAGTCAGTACGACACTCAAGACCGAAGCCAACATCTTTGGGTTCCAACATTTTGACGTGATGGTCGTTGCTAAAGCATCCTTAGTCTCCTACATAGAAGGACACAGGCTGGACACGAGTAACGCTTCTGTATTCTCTCCCTTTCTTTCAATTTCAAGGCCGTCACAACAACAATAACTCGGACATCTATCCAGCTTGGTGCCCAGTGGGAACAGAACATGAATAAAACAGGAATGGGGAGGATGGGCCGTAGCAAGCGAGATATCTGATCCCACAGTCCAATAAACCTGACCCTTAAGTCTATCACTCTGGGTCAGAAGGTCCAATTACCAGGTCTGTTCTACTTCTTTTTATGATTGACAGCAGCCAGAGGCAAAATGACTTTAGAGGCTGTTAATCCAGCCTCTAATTTTCCCCTTTGCCCCTATACACACAAAGCATCCTGGTGGTCCACGGTGAGAGGTTCCGTGAATCCAGACTTAAATGCCTTTGTTTCCTCTAAGAACAGCAACCGAGTTCAATCCCAGCCCGCCTCATGGGGACATTACCTGCAGCTCTGTTTGGAAGAAGAACTTCTGTGGGCATTGCGTACAGTCATAGATCTTGTCTTCTTGTCCATGGGCAGAGAAAATATGCTGCTGCAACTTGTTTGCTTGAACGAATACTGAAAGGATAAAAGAATGGTGGGCCCGGGGTTATTCTGTTGTCGAGATGCCCTTAGTCCATGACTCCCCATGACCAGCAGAATGGTACGCCTCCTGGGTGTGATGGCTGCCGGAGACCGGGGGAGAGCTAAGTCCACATTTGCTCCCGGCTGGGGTCTCTGGCTTTTGTTAAGATGCACTGTACCGAGCCCCTAATTCAACACAAACAGCTCCAAAGTAAAGGTTTACAGGGGCCCTGCTCCCAATAAATCTTTAAGAAGGAAAGCCGAAAATTGTCCAATGCGCAGCACTATCTGAACAGAAACGACTCTTATTTCTCAGCAGCCCACAGGTTAAGAAATCATAGATGCCAAAAACTGGTTTATTGTATTTGCCTAAAGTTATAGCTAGCAAGCAGCTCTCTATTTAAATGTGTTAATGCTAAAAATTATATCCCACAGCTACTCTGGGGCACTGTCTGTAACTGTGAAACAGAATGCCAGGTAAATTCTCTTTGGATACTTTAAGATCAACTCAACCTACACACTGAATGCAAGGGTTTCAATAATATAAACATGTTCAATTTTAATGACTACAAAACAAGGCCCTAAGCCTGTGTAACAGTTTACCTAGGAGACACACTATTAATAATTAAATTGTATATGCCAGAGGCAGTGTTTGGGTTGGCAGAACTGACTTCTGATGGATGCCGGGTGCACTGTGACCTAAAAAAGTTTGCATCTACAATATTAATCTGTATAGGCAGGGACAGGATTTATTAAAGATGCTGGCATTTGACTTTGACTCTACTCTAATCATTAAAATTATTCTAATTGCCAGCCAACCTACAATATTAGAATATTATTCTTGTGAGTCATACATTTTAATCACATTTCTCATTACCTTAAAAAACTGCTCAGATTTCCTCTTCCCCATAACATGCTTTATATTGGAAGGTTTTCTCTCCTTTTTTTTTTTGTTTGTTTAATTGTTCTTTCTCAAATGACTTTAAGATACAATAAAAGTATTCAGGTCTGCATGCACAGAAATTTCAGCTGTTTATGATTAATGCATTTTTGTCTCTCTACTCATCTTGACAAAAAGGAAACGCCTTTCTTTCTTTTTGGGGGGTGGGGTAGTGGTGGCAAATATCCACAGTTAATCACCACAGATCCGTCGCACACTCTAGGATATTTCTGGCTACAACAGGAAAGAGCTGCTTTGTTACGGGTCTTGGTCATGAGGTGACCCGCGACTCCGTCCTCCAAGGCAGAGCGTTCACGATCATGAACTTTTCATAAAAGTCACAACCCTGAGACACTCCGAACCTTAAAATATATCTTACAATTTGCCTGTGGCCCAGATGCGACAACATATATACTTTTAACAAATACATTTGGAAGGTAAAAAAATAACTGCAAAAGGAAAAGAAGCGGCAGGTGGAATTATGGAATGAAGGTGCTGGACGGGTGGACACTGAACGCAGAGCCACCAACAGCCAGGATTTCTGCTCATTGCTCAGTGAACGTGACCCTTCGATTTTCCATTTTCGGTTGCAGAAATCTTTAGGCTGGATGCAGGGTCTCGGGCTTTTGGTTAATAATCAATGATCAATTTTGAAGGGAAAAATTCAAGTACATGTACTTAGCATGTCCGCCCCCTCGGACAGATAAGAAGGATAAAGAGTCTTGAGGGGCCTTGCGTACCGACTCCAAGACCCAGGTGACATAAGCACAATGGATGTTCCACAGCAACCATCAACACTGAAGGACAACCCAACATGCATGTGCTGATGGTTCAACCCCGTGGGCTTCCAATTAGTTCCTGATTTACCACTCCAGTCCTCCATTTTTTTTGTTGTTGTTGCTAAAAATTATAAAGCTATGACATCCACTACCAAAATGTTCTTCAAATGGTACATTTGTATCACTCGACTTGAAAAATCGAATTCCCGAATCTGTGCATCTAATCCACTTAGTGCTTCCATGAATACTTTGGAGAGGGATTAAGGAAGATCCCTGTATTTGTTGGTGGGGAAAAGTTAGAGCATTTTCCACGCTTTATTCACAGACATGCGGTGGCAACACCCTGCGCCGTTCCCCAAACCCCGGGTGATTCAGAAGCAGCTCAGTGCAGGCCGTTTTTGCCCGGGGAACCTTGTTAACACTGTGAGGAAAAGAGCGAAGGAAACGTGATGTCAAAGTTTTGTCCAAATGGAAAAGTACAAACTTCTGAGACTGCTTGACAAGCCACTTGTTCATCCTGAGGGTTAACCTTCCTGCCCATTTGAGAGCCTTTAAGTACGCGGCAATCAATAATGTTAATCAGCAGAAACCAAAGACCTTCCCCCAAACTGAACTCATGACCTAGCGGCACAGAGTCCCAGCTGGGAAGTGTGTGCTGTGCCTGGAAGGGCAGGAGGGGCCACAGCACCCTGCGGAGTTTTCCGGTTGTCATCGTCCTACCTGTGAAGCAGACTGGACACTTGAACGTGCCTCCCATCCCTTCGAAGCTGTGCTCTATCAGGTGGCACTGGAGTTTGGCCGGGGAATCGAAAGTTTGGCTACAGAGCTTGCATTCGTGGTTCAGTCCTTCATCTGTTAAAGGAAGCAAACGCGTGCACAGGAAAAGGTGAGATCAACCGCACCGCTACCAGACCGTTAGTAACTATAATCTCATATGTTAACCTGGTCCATCAGTTAATATAAACGTGTCGTGGAATATAGGGATTCACATCAATCCAAACACGTTTAGAATCTGAAGTCCAAAGATAGCCAGAAGTCAGACTTTATCTTAAGGGTTTATTGCATCACATCGAGCTTTTAAAATAGAATCGGTCTATCAACAATGAGGAATCGCCTTTTCTCTAATCTATCATGACTTCATGGAAGGTGTATTCCCAAAGTTCAAAGGGAAAGGACCCGTAGCAAAGTGGACATTTTGTGTTCTTGATACCGATGCTACTCCTATAGCTTCCAGTCTCCCCTCTGGTTTATCGAGAAGGTTCTAGCATGTTCTACATCTAACCTGAAGGTTTTCAGTGTGATTCCCATTGGTAGGGTTTCCCCTCTCCCGTAGTTTGATTTTCTTGGAATTCTGAACTGCTGCTGTTCACGGAGCCCTGGTGACTGGGTGGGTACCATTCAGGGCTGCAAACTGCAAGGTCAGCAGTCTGACACCATCTGCCACACCGGAGGACGGAGATTTGGCTTTCTAGTCTTGTAAGATGGACCGTCTTGGAAGTCCCTGTCCTACAGAGGTGCGCCAGGAGTCAGAACTGAATGGATGGCAGAGAGGGTGGCACCTCCTCAATACGCTTGGCTCTGCTGGGTACTTGCTCCCAGGCCCCTTACTCTTCTCAGTTCGTTGGTCCTTTTACTTTGTAAGACATTGTCAATATTTCCCCTAGTCCATCTCTGTCCAAATATACTTTTACTAGCTTGAGGATTACTTCTGCCTAACCCTACACTTTCCTTTGATCGCTTAGAAACAACATGAAAAACTTTTTTTTTGTTGATGTAATGACAAGTGCGATGTAAAGCAAAGAGTTTGAACTATAATTGGCTATTTTTGAGGATGCGTCTTTCTTTTGAGATGTTTCTGAAATGTAAAATTTAAGGGACAGCCCAATTTGTTCCAGTGTGCTACTATTAAGTGGCAAAACCCATCAGCAATAGAAAGAACTTTGCTGACACTTCCGTAGGATCTGTTTCAGACCCTGGGATTCTAGATGACAGCAGATATCAATTCATTTAATCTCGCAACCACCCTAGGAAGTGGGTACTATTATTATTGCCAATGAGGCCCAGGGGGTTCATTAACTTTCATCTGAGTCACAGGTAATTGGTGGATCCAGGACTGAGACCCAGGCAGTCTAGATTCGAACCCAGGCTGCTGGCACCAGGGTTCATAATCTTACCAAACACGCCACAACATACACCAGCTGCTCCTAAGAGTACTTATTAGGAAGAGGAGTCAGGGGTAAGAAGAGGCTGGTCTAACCGGGCTTCTGGTTGCCACCGAACTCGATTTTCTAGTTTCTTATTTGCAATGATTGAAAAGGCTACTAAGGAACATCTATGTCTAAGGAGTCGGGGTATCAGGCCTACAGTCCAAAGTTACTTTAGTTCATTCAAAGAAATCACATTCATATAGGTTATTCACCAGTTGATATTACTGACAGCAGAAAGGCCCAATTACGAAGTGAATTATTATTAGCTAACTGGAACTAAAAACCACTCTATTTGTATTCCTCATCTTTCCTTACACACAAGCATGAGTCTTTAGAAGAGGAGGATTGGAATTAGTAAAAAGGGAAGCAAAGCACTAATTAAGCCACCCAGTACTGTCTACATTTCACAAGAGATAAAAACCTACTCTGTATTTGGGTGGCACAGTAAATTCCTTGATTATAATTATGTAAGAGGGAGTTTAATTGTGCATACTGACACGACAAGGGGTTATACAAAAAGCTTTAGGGATTATATAAGATCAAGGGTTTTTCATCTTTTCATTCATTCTTCTGTTTTCAATCCCAAAGTCACCCAAATTGTAGACATTAAGAAATATTAGAAACACCGTTTCTCATTAAGTTCTTCATCAGAAATTTTTGGTAAACTAACTTTTCCCCTCCTTTCTTAAGATGACCCATCTTTGTTTTCAAAGTAAGGATCGTTCAAATCTCATCTTTAAATTGTATCCGTTTCTCAGTAAGAATCAAGATGTAGTCTGTGGGTGTGAGCACATATACATTTGTTTGAGAATTCTTCAAAGTGCACTATGTTTTAAGTTCTTGGAGAAAATGCTTGATGGTTAAAACAACGTAAAGTGAATCGTGTAAGCTAGAATGCTCTTGAGTTAGTTAATTGTGCCAAGCTGGCCGATAATCACATATGGGGCTAATTGAAAGGCAGAGGGATAAATGGGTGGTGAGCCTTGCCTTTCTAGTTCTCAGGTCTCTTGCTTTGTGATGGTTGCACCGGGTGCAGCTGCCTTAGCAGTTCCCTGCTTCAGCTTGCAAGATTGACTTCCTACAAGACATTCCCAAGGAGAAGCTACGTGGACCTATCCCGATGCAGCCCTGGGTGCTGGAGCAGCCATGTGGAGACCCCTGCTAGTGCTGAGATGCTTGTTCGTTCACTGACTCAGCTTTCCTCCTGCAGTCGGCATCATTGCCTCTGTTTTGTGAGGTGGAGGACTTTGTGGACTGGTGTTGGGTTAATGTTGGACTTGTGGGCTTGGGCAGCATTGGGTTGGGATGTTTTCGTGATGCACACTTTCTTTACATAAAACTCTCTTATAATGAGTCGTTGTGAATTTGTTTCTCGAAAGGACCCAGACTAATTCAGCTCTTTAGTGTAATTTCACCTTTTCTCGACTCGATTTCTTCTCCTGAAAAACAGGCAGGACTACACATAAGCTCTATGTATAAAATATGGGAGGATCTTTAGCCATTTCTATTTCTTTTCCATTCCAAATCAGAGATGTGCAATTCCACAATGTTTTGCAATACTAACATACTCAAGTGGTATTTGTGCATTGTGGGTATGGACTTTCTCTCGCTACTTTGAGTCTTCATGGATGTAGGCACCAAGGGTGGGCAACGGTAATAAAAAGCGCATCTAGTATTTTCAGGACACTTTACAGTTTACGAAGCAAACTGAACTAATTGGGGTGGGGGTGGGGGAGAGACTTGGAAATTCTCGTTGCCTGTTTTTCATACCTTACCCAGCGAGGTTTTTTCTCAGAAGCTGAGTAGAACATTAAATACATCTGAGTTGTTATCTAGCACCTGACAGTGAAAATACCCAAATACTTCTCCTACCTCCTTTTATTGCTCTACTCCCGTGCCCCACCCTCACCCTTTCATATCATCCGATCAGCACAGGCTCAAACACATACAGTTCACAAAAGTGGTAATGAGGGCCTCAAACATCTGGACAACTGGCTAATATGATGTATTTTGTATTTCTAATTGAAGAAGGGAAGAAGAAAAGAACGGCTAATAACACTAATGATTTATCATAAGAATTTTAAAGCTCTGTCTTTATGCATAGTCTCGGTATAACCCTGAATTTACACATACGACATTTACTTCATGTGATTAAGAGCAGTATTTTAATTTTCAAAGGTTCTCTAAAAACCCTTAGGAGTGGGAGACAAGGATGAGTGCAGCTCCCTTTCCTCCCCACAGTGGTCTTTCTCCTGGGTCCCCCATATCCAGTGTCAGCCAGGAAGGACCAGGAAAGGAGGAATGGAGGGTAGTTCCAACCTGAAACCAATGTTCATGACGTGACTGTCAGCAAACGTTGCTTCGGGTGAACCCAAGATTAGCCTCCGGATTTCGTCCACACAATCCTAACCTGTGCTCTGCTGCCCTCGGCCTTTTCCCTAAGGATGCCCCAAATAACCATCTTATGCTCTGCAGAGAGGTAACAGCAGGCAGTAACTAGTGAATATAGTCCAACTCGTTTGGTGAAGAGAGAGTCCAAGCCAACTGACCTGAGAACCAGTAGAATATTGCATTGGGGATATGGTAAGCTCGTACTGCCTTCTTCTTTCATTGAGTGTTATAGATGGGATCTAGGAAGGAAAGGTTGAGATTTCTCTTCCTTGTTTTGTTTACTGATAGTCTCCAGGTCTTCTACAGTGAGCATAATTTGTCTTTGTATTTTGAAAATCAAACAAAACTATCCGTTCTCTAAGATGCTAACAAAGTGGAGCTGTGCTGAAAGTCTGCTAGGCAGAAAGTTAGATGGGAGATAATGAGTATTAAAAAAAAAACAAAAACAAAAAACACCCTCTAGTCCTGAGCACTAGAATGAAAGGTACGCTAGTTAAGTATGCATCCAAGCAGAAATCAGCGCACCCTAAAGGAGACAGAAGAGGTAGACAATGGGCCTGTTACATGAGGAAGTGTCTGCAATCTTCAGTCGAAACCTGTAGCTTCCGAGACCGAGCAGAAAACCGCTGGCTCACCATCGTCTACAGAGGGAGTGTGCAGACCTCCCACGCTGTGGGTCAATGTCAGAATGGGCAAGAGGCAGCCTGACTGCCCAGCACGGGCTGGCGGCCAGCAGCTCCCGCGCCTGGTCACCCACTGAAAGTTAAGAGTTTGGAACCGTTGAGGAATAACTAACTACATGTACCGCAAATCCAGCTACAATAATTACTCCCATTCGCTAATCTTCATTTAGATAATAAGTGTGAGCATAAGTGTAAACAGGAATCAAGTCTACACAAAAGAGACGGAAGCTAATGTAAATATTTACCCCACTATGAAACGTTTCCAAGGAGAGAGTCTGAGTAGATGACTGCAGCGCAGCCCCATTGCCGTAGTGGGAAGTGGTATCACCACGGCACGGCACTTCCTGCTACAGAAGTAAATTCGGCCTGGCTAAGGCCAGTGCAGGGGGGTGGGATGGTGGTGGGCATTTATGTCTCTCCAATTCATGGAAGCTGCCCCTACGTCAACATTAGCCAGCTAGTTTTATAACAGAAAGGAAAGGAAAAGAAAAATAGTTACCAGATGAATGCCCAGGCAGAACTCAAGTTAGGCATTCCAACACAGCAATTACTAGCTTAACGTGAAGCACTGACATTTCAATATCAGCTTTAAACAAGAGCAGCCCCCAGACTGTGTGTCCCATGTTTCTACTGCTTTTCGTTCAATAAAAACAGAAATCCAGCGCAGCCGTAAGCAAATGTTCAGTGGTTGACTTACACGCAGCCGTTATCCCCGGAATCACTGGGGGCCGCCTTACATCATCTGATCAACACTGCAGCCATTACTGAGGACCAATTTGTAATGGTTTATAAGTAGAACTCCTTTTCTCCTTTATCCCTGAGACTGGCCAGGAGGGTCCTTCAGCCTCTTGCACTACATAAATCTATAGGCTAAAGTCCAAAGATGTACCCCCTCCTGGTCAATCACTATGTGGCAGGGGCCATACGTAAAAGCGCTCATCGAGGTGGGAGCAGGCTGCCCTCAGAATCCAAGCAGAGGAATCAAACGCCCTGAAGTTGTAATTTGTTCCAGTGCGAAACTGTACCCTTCTATCCATAGAGATGTTTGTTTGGTTGTTTTAAAGCCAAGAAACCTATGCCCTAAACCAATTCCCAGCACCTCCCCAACCTGCCCCCCCTTCTGTACTCTGCTTCTCCTCTTCCCTGAGTTAATTTCCGAGCACACATTTATAAGCTAGGGGTCTGAGGAGTAACAAAGAAAAGCCACACATGACAAAACTAACCCCTCGGCTACATCGGCTCACCCTAGAAACCAGGAGAAAAATAGGCGGCCTGCACTGTAATTTGCCATGCACACAACCATGCCATTCTTCCTGGGGCCGGAGCAGCCAGGCCACTGTCATTTCTCGTAGTATACACTGCCCATATTTCACAAGTGTGACATAAGCACACTGCACTGCTAATTTGGCAATGGAGAATATTACTTGGGCTTTAAGCTCTGCCACCAGGTTACTCATTGAGTCCCCAAAGAAGGGGGGAACTTGAGAGTACTACTATGGTGGGAGACTCCACACCGGTTAAAAAGTTCTTTCCCTACTGTTCTTTTGAACAGCCTAGAGGGAAAGGACTGACGCCCAGAGGCTGCCATTAGCACCTTTAGAATATGTGCTGCTGACACAGGGGCAGAGCTGCCACTGCCCAGATTCCAGAGCCACAGCAAGGAAGAGCAGGAGACAAGCGCACACAATTCTCACAATGATACAGAAAGAGCATGCGGACACTTAGAAGAAGGGGTCACCACTCTCTGATGACCCAGGCACCAAGTACCTAACCTTCAGAGTCTCGAAAAAGCAAAATATTTTGTCTCCTGGGGGCAGTGTGTGTGTGTGTGTGTGTGTGTGTGTGTGTGTGTGTGT